TTATTTTCTCCTGCTAACCTGTCTTGTTAATTATTTGGCCAGCCATAAGAACCTTAAGGGAAAGGGCAGAGGGGGATTCTCCCTCTTCCCCCACAGCATGGATGTTAGCTCAGGGCTGATCTTCCTCACAAAAAAAAAAAGTAAGTCATTTTGGATCTTATCTAGGCTAATGCAATATCACCTGAGGGATAAATTTCATCAGAGGTTGTCATGCCCTAGAAAACCTATTAAAAAGGGTCAGAACAACCCCTATATTTTTCTGGCAGACCAGTCTTAACTTACAGAGTCTTAGTTATAAGGTTCTGGGGTCCAGGGCCCTTCAGACAACTTAAAAGTTTTCAGTTCCAGGTATAGACTGAAAATGTACAGGTAATATCTAATCTAAATATTGTTTGAGCATTGCATTTAATTGCTTAGAGTACTGAAATTTCCACTTCATTATAATTCAAAGTTAAATATGTTATGGGCCAAATTGTGGAGACTTCCCTAATTTTGGCAGTTCCTAAAAGCATCTAGTTCATATGGATTTTCAAATGTTTGACATAAAGCTCTAACAGTATAATTCTGTGATACTTTAAATTTCCCATCTCTGTGCTTATATGCCCTTTTGCATTCCTAATGCTTTTCCTTTTTGGTCAGACATACCAGCATTTTGTCTATGTTGTTCATTCTTTCAAGAAACTGGCTTTTGGTTTTGTTTATTAATTCTTTTTGTTTTTCTCTTTTGCTTCCTAATTTATTATTTTCTGCCTTTTATTTTGATTTTCCAGTGTTTCTTTTATTTTGTTATTTTCTACAGTTTTTCAAAATGCTATTAGAATACCTTCCATCTTTCTAATAAAAATAATAATAATAAAAACTCAGATCAATGAATTTTCCTATGAGTTCAGTTTTGGTCATAATCAATATTTTTTGATAAGTAATGTTCTCAGTGTCTGTAATTCTGTTTAGTTCTATAATTACCATTCTGACTTCTATTTTGACAGAATTTTTTAGAAATGAATTTGTTAGTTTGAATTTTGCACCATTGGGTAGATTTTAAACAATCATTTTCTTTTTTTTTTGTTTTTTTTTTAAAGATTTTATTTATTCAGTTTTTTTCCCCCCAAAGCCCCAGCAGACAGTTGTATGTCATAGGTTCACATCCTTTTAGTTGC